GGGGGGGGGGGGGGCGGGTCCAGTTTTCTGGTTACTGTCAGTGTTGGTCTGAATTACCTAGTTCACCATTATAAGGGAAAGTAGTTTAACTTGATGAAGGCTTATCTCGTAAGAGTCCCCAATTTGAAATTTTAGTGTACATAGTTTTAGTGTTTCCTTAGGGTGAGATTTTGAGTACCAGGATCATCGTATACAATATACGTTCATTTTATATGCATAATAGCAATTATTAGAAAAAAGGAAACAGGATTACGAGTAGACAAGGGAGGAAACAAATGGCAGAGAAAACAATATTTTTGCAGAGTTTAGGGGAAAGATACGGTAACATTTTCATGTCTATCAGGAGTCTTAGAAAGGGCAGTCATATATGAAAAGAACTGATGTATTTGTTGGCATGATAATTGTCATAGTTATAAGGCTGTAGAATCCTAGATATTGTGGAAGAGGCATCGAGAATTATCTACTGAGTTATGTTGAGAAACTCCAGGATAGCTTTCTAAGTCATTAAATGGAGGGGTTGACTTTGGGGCTGGCCTTAGGGTTGTGTCTTAGAGCAGTATATGTCTACAGCACAGCCGCTAGTATAGTAAGGGATTGCAGGGAGCTGAGTGCGGTGAAACCCAATGTTAATATAAGATAGAAGAAATGTGACTGACGTTGATTTAGTGTGCTATCTTCATATGTGTATGTGAATTAATTTATGATCTTCTTGAGTTCATTTATGTTCTTGACCCTCCAACTAATTCCTATATTTCTGAAATTTCAAAATTGCAAAAGTTTCTGTCAGTCTTCAACCAATGCAATGAAAAGCAAAAATGACCTCTCTTTTGTAGCCCCTTGTTTCTTCTCCTGAAAAAATGAGAGATATTAGAGATGTTCTGTCTCGGGTGATTTTACCAGCAGAGTTTTGGTTCATATTTTAAACTTTTGGAAGATAGGAATTGTTGCTTAAACTGATTCCCTCTCTTTCATGTCCCTACCTTCTTGATGTTTATGCAGTGTATGTGTTATGGGAGACCAGTTTAAAATCCGCATGTTTCTTTGTCACATCTCTCCATACAATCTTCTATTACTGTTTTCTGGTGCTTTACAACTCATCATTTGACTGGCTTTTTTTTTTTTTTTTAATGATGTCATTCTTCCACACCACCCCCAACTTTTTATTGAGAATGTTCAAACCTACAGGCAAATTGAAAGAATAGTACAGTGAACACCTATATACCTCTACTGCTTGGGTACAACAATTGTTAACATTTTGTTATATTTGTTTATATCTCTCTTAATACTCCTTTTTTTTCCTGCACTTGACTCCTAAATGCTGCAGCAAGCGTCTGCTAAAATACATTCTCCTAGAAGTGTCATACTTCCAAAAAATGTAAACATTTTAAAAAATTTAATATTTAGTCTGTATTGAAGTTTCTCCACTTGTAGCTGGTTTTCTCAAACCATGGTTCAGTCAAAGTTCAAGTATTACATTTGCTTGTTGTTGGTTTAGACTCTTCTAATGTACTGCAGTTGTCCCCACCTCCACTTTTTCCCCCATGCTGTTGACTTTTTGACGAGATGAGGCTGGTTGTCTTGTAGAATGTTCCCACGTTCTGGATTTGTCTGATTGTGTCCTTACGGTATTTAACTTGTATCTCCAGCCACTGTGTTCCCTAAAAACAGAAGCATGGATCTAAAGGCTGGATTATATTTAGGTGTTTTGGCTTAGATGCTCCTGTGTACATTATGTTGATTCATAACACACAGCATATAAAATCAGGTTGTCTGCCTCAAGTGTGGTCGTTTGGTTAAGGTGGTATTTAACAGATCTATTCATTATAAAGATGGGGTTTTTTTCCTCCTGTGCAATTAGCAGTTGATCACTGAAATGATATTTTGGTTTCCTGCAAGTGTTCTGTTTCCCAGCAGCCTTTTGCCTGATGTTTCTAGCATCTGTTGGTGAGCCTTGTGTAAATCAGTTATTTCATTTGGGCTCACAAAATAGTACTTTTTCTAACCCTGTCATCCTTTTGGATCTATTCTAGCCAACTGTTCTCCGTTAAAAAGACCTTTCCTTTGTCAACTGGGATGAACTACAGTTCTTCCAAAAAAGATGAGGTAACTGCTTATTTTCCTTTGATATATCTACTCTTTAACTCTGAAAACTCTTTAAACTCTGAAAATGACTTCAACTCCAAAAGTTCGTTACTAGTCTTCTTCAGTGGTGGCAAATAACTTTATTTCTCTCTCTCTCTTTTGGTATCACAGAGATTTTTGTTTTTTCAGTGTTTTTATAGTCAGTTTAGTCACTATTCCTTTTTTTAGTCGATTTTACTTTTTATAAATTTTACATGTGCAGAAAAAATGAGAACGTGTTACAGTGTTACCATATATCCTGCACCCAGTTTCTCCTATTATCAACATCCTACTTAGTATGGTACATTTATTACAATTAGTGAACTAATGTAATATTGATACGTTATTATTAACTAAAGTCCATAGTTTATCCAGCTTGCCTTAGTTTTTACCTAATGTCCTTTTTCTGTTCCAGGTATCCCATCTGGGATACTACATTACATTTAGTTGTCATGTCTCCTTAGGATCTTCTTGGCTTTGAGTTTCTCAGATGTTCCTTAAATGTTTTTGATGACCTTGACAGTTTTGAGGCGCACTGGTGAGGTATTTTGTAAGATTTCCCTTTATTGGAATTTGCCTGATGTTTTTCTCATTTTTAGACTGGGGTTACGGGTTTTGGGGAGGAAGATCCCAGAGGTAAAGTGTCGTTTTCATCACATCCTATCAAGGGTACATGGTGTTAACATAATTTATGACTGTTGATGTTGAGCTTGGTGACCTGGCTGAGGTAGTGCTTGTCAGATTTCTCCACTATAAAGTTAGTCTTGCTCCACACCCCTTTCCCTAGTGTGGTATTTGGAAGAAGTCACTATATGCAGCCCAGACTTAAAGAGTGAGGAGTTATGCTCCCCGTCCTTGAGAGTGGCGTACATAAATTATTTGGAGTCCTTCTGTGTAAGAGATTTGTCTCTTCTCCCACTTACTAATTTATCTAATCGTTTATATCACTATAGCTTCATGGATATTTATTTTATTCTTTGGGTTATAATTCAATACTACTTTACTTTGTTGCTCAATTGTTCGCACTTTGGCCACTGAGAGATCTTTCACTTGGCTCCTGTGCCCCTTTGACATACCTCCGTCAAAGTGGGTGTTTTTGTTTTTGAGGACTTCCTTACTACTTTCTGGCACTACAGGTTGCTCCTAGCTCATCTTGTGTATTTTCTGCCTCAGTCCAGAATCAGCCACTTCTCCAAGGAACCCTTTTTCCTTTTATTGGAGAATGGTGTTAGAAACCAAGATCTGGGTGCTAGGTGTGCTTGTTGCTACTGGGATGTGGTTTCTTTTAGGCACCCTCAGCAGACAAAGCAAAGAAAGGAATGTGTCCGTATTAATAGACATGTCCATAATTATTTTTCTGTGTAACCATCTGTGTCTATATTAAGCTAAGTATGAGTTTTTAGTCTTCAGCTCTAACCCGTTAACCACGTGGATCATTCTGGCGTTCTCCCCCTACTGAAAGTAAATTTCCTCCAACAGTGAGAAACCTGCCTCCCACCATATGTGATCCATTTACTTAATTGTTCAATTCCAGTATGTATACATGACATCTAGCAGTATCAGAATTGCTAACCCATACCCAAATGGAAACAACTGTATCAACTAAGAGGTTGGTTTTGTTGATTCCTTGGAAATTTCAACATACATAATCATGTCATCTGCAAACAAAAAGTTGTGTTTCTTCTTTCAAATTTTATTTTCTTTTGTCGTCTTACTGCAATAGCTAGAGCTTCCAGTATGGTATCGCATAGGAGTGGTGAGAGCAGACGTCCTTGCCTTGTTCCTGAGCTTAGAGGAAAAGTATCCGGTTTCTCACCATTAGGTATAATGTTAACTGTGGGGTGTTTTATGGGGTTTTTTTGGGTAAATTTTCTTTATCAAATTGAGGAAATTCTCCCGTTTCCGGTTTGCTGAGAATTTTTATCATGAATGGGCGTTAGATGTTGTTGAATGCTTTTTCTTTTTCCATTGATATGATCGTGTGATTTTTCTTCTTTAGCTTGTTGGTGGTGGCTTACATTAATAGATTTTAGAACCAGCCTTGCATACCCAGAATAAATCGCCCTTGGTTGTGGTTTAGAAATCTTTTTATACGTTGTTGGATTTGATTGCTAATATTTTGTTGAGGATTTTTGCATCTGTGTTCATGAGAGATACTGTTCTGTAGCTTTCCTTTCTCGTGGTATCTTTATCTGATTTTGGTATTAGATAATGCTGCCCTCAGAGAATGAGTTAGGGAGTGCTTCTGGAAGAGATTGTAGAGAATTGCTGTCATTTTTTTTTTCCCTTAAATCTTTGGTAGAATTCACCAGTGAAACCATTTGGACTCGGTGCTTTCAGTTTGGGAAGGTTAATAACTATTGATTCAGTTTCTTTAATAGATATAGGCCTATTCAGATTATCTGTTTCTCTTTGTCTGAATTTTGGTAGATTGTGTCTTTGACAGAATTGGTCCGTTTCATCTTAGTTACCAAATTTGTGAGTATAGAATTTCCCATAATATTCCTTTATTATATACTTACCATCAGTAGTGATGACCCCCCCTTCTTTTATTAGGAATTTGTGTCTTCTCTCTTTTTTTCCTTGCTTAGTCTGGCTAGAGGTTTATCAATTTTTTATTTTCAGAAAAACAGCTTTCCTTTTTGATTTTTTTCTGTTTTCCTGTTTTCAATTTTATTGATTTCTGCTCTAATTCCTATTATTTTTTTCCTTCTGCTTGCGTTAGGTGTCATTATTCTCTTTGATGCTCAGATTGTCCCATATTTGGCCATTGGGGCTTTCTCAAGGTGACTGCTCTGTCATTTTGATCTGACCTGGTTGGTTGTTGAGTACTTCCTTGTTTTGTGGCAGAACAAGATGTCTGCGTTTCAAATTTTACTTACCCTGCTTCATCCTGGAATGTTCCATTTCTTTAGGAAGTTGATTTCAGTCTTAATTTTACATGATAGTTCATTTCTTTCATTCAAAGTTTGAACAGGTTTGCCACACAGGATCAGCCTTTTTGCTTTTCTTTGGTAGTCTACAGAGCAACTGAGGCCTCCTGTCCATGCTAGAATTTAATGTATCCTTCCTTGTTATAAAAACAGAACATTTTCTTGTTCAGTTTACGTGGGCATAAAGACATGTGAAATTACATATAGCCGCACTTCTGTGAAGTCCCTGAAAGTGATTTGTACTTGGGCAGTTTGGACTTCTGCTGTGTTAAGAGAGAATCGAACCCCTCGTGGCTCTCTATACCTTTTTTAAAAGCTAGAAAATTGAGTTTGCAGTATTCTGGATTATCTGATTTGGTTTTTCTGCATCTCTGCAATTATTTCATCATTTAAGTATTTGAACTTTAGGGTTTTTGTTTCTTTTTCTTTAACAAATATTTATTATGTGCCAGAACTTTATAAATATTAACACATTTAATCCTTCTGTCAACCTTGTAGGTAGATATTATTTATTATTCTACCCTCTCTTCCATTTTATAGATGTGGAAACTGAGGCAGATGAAGTATTAGTTACTCAAGGTGGTAGGGCTGAATCTGAATCCAGATAATCTGCCCCCGAGTTTGAGTTTTCACTGCTGCTTTGTGCCACCTGTCCTCTGCTGGTTAAGGGGAAGGGTGGTTTGTGAGTCAGCATCGTGTTCTTCCCTTCTCTTCATGTTAATTACGGTGTAATGGGTGGCACTTGTGCTACCATAATGGCTTGCTGTGGCATTGCAGGCACTGGTTATTTAAGCCGTAGAGTTTTGAGATCCCAAATTGGGAGAATTCAGAGCCTCATATTTCATTGCTTTTGAGTTATTGGCCCCTTGCTGCAGTTCTTTTTGGCCAGAAGACATTTTCATGAATAGTGATAATCTCCAAAAAGATTGAGGTCTCCTTTGAAAAAAAAGTTTATTAAATGCATATGAATTTTAAAGTACTGTATTCTGTGATGATATAAGAGCAGAGGAGAATAAGTGAAAATACTTCAGAAAGTACAGAGAGCTAAATATTTGTAGCAAGTTTATTAGTGTACGTAGTTCCTGCTGGCACTGTATAAGAAGGATCATTATTTTATGAGAAGAATATACTTTATGGGAAATCTTAGATTCTTGGATCAGAATTCTAAGTTTCAGTTCTTTGATATGTTAACACGGGGTCCACTGCATCCTATTTCCTGGTGTAGTTTTCTTATTCTCTGCCTCCTTGTCCTTACTAAGCCCTGCGGGTTCCCTAAAGTCAGGGCATACTCTTTTTGAAAAGAATGTTATCCAGTCTTAATGAGAGGAAGAGAATAGTGGAAAACATTTTTTTATTTATTTTTAAAAAATTAAGTGCAAATAGCTATATAATATGGGGAAAATAAAATAAAGATAAAAAGATAAAAACTACCCTTAATCTTGCTAATAATATTTTGACATATTTTTTCCATGTATTTTGTGCATGTGTGAGAGAGATTACATGTGTTTATACACACAGGCTCATACATACGTGTGACGTTTATAAGGGATCCAAAAGTAGTATTAGCAGATATTAATTGGGGACTAGAGTAGTGATGACTGCTTTGATTTGATTAGGGATGAAGCCTAAAAAAATGGATTTTGCTTAAAAGAAACGTGTCCTTAAAGTAAGAATTTTTATAAAATAAGAGAAGATTTGTAGCATTGATTGTACCTTAGCAGTGGAAAATATAGAAGGGGTTTCAAGGGTTCTATGAAGTCAAAACTGTTTTCATAGTAATACTAAGATGTTATTTGCCTTTTTCATGCTTGTTCTCAAGAGTTTTCCAGAGGCCATGTGACCTGACCTGTGATGTGGCAAGAGTGAATGCAGAAGCATCTAAGAGAACCCATCTGTCTGGAATTAAGCCAGGTAGGAAAGGGATTGATAAAAATATAGAGCAGTGGCACTCTTCTCACTAAAGTTTTAAAAAAATAGTTATTTTCCATCAAAATGCTAGTTATAAGTTTGTTATTTTAAAATAAGCTTAAAATTTTTTAAATGCTCGGTTTTTAATATCTAATATAGTAAATATTGATAGGCATAATCCACATAAATAAAAGTACTTTGGGATCCTCAATAATTTTAGAGTATAAAGGGATCCTGAGACCAAAAAGTTTAAGAGCTGTTGCATTATACGATATCAAAAAATCATTAGTTAATGTCACTATCTATCTTATCAGAAAAATCTTGGGAAGCTTCCAAGGTTCACAGGGACAGGTATACATTTACCAGAATTTTAATTTTCACTTGAAAATTTGAATTTTATTATTGGCAGTAAATATTGTCATTTATTTTCCTTGAAGTAATAAGCTTACTTTGTTAATTTTCAAGAAAATGTCTTCCAAATACTACCCTAGTCCAAATAATAGTAAATGATGTTCCGTGAAAAAGTGGCTCACAACTCAAATAGTTAGAGTGCTTTTCTTTGAGACAACAGTTAGTTTTCAGTATGCAGCAGAAGTGCTTACTGTGTCCTTCCCATTTCATCATACAGATAATTTGGAATAGTCCTCTTTTATACTACATCAGAATTCAACAATTTAAATGCAATGTGAGATCTGAAACTGTATAAATAAGTTTTTCATGCCTTGTTATATTAAAATCCATTGGTCTATCTTAACATTTAAATGAATCTTTTGCCCACGCAAAATACTGATTCAGTGAGGTGTGCAGATCTTTTAAATGTTGATTTATTTTATTATACCGACATTATAATAGTGTGTTATGAGGACTCAGAGGGCCATCACCAAAAGCCCATCTGTGTCAAGTATTTGAGAGTCGAAATTTATACAACTAATAGTTTTTGGGGAAAAAAAGCAGTAAAATTCTTATCTCTAGCCAGACTGATCAATACGAAAAAAGAGAAGTGAGAAATTGTCAATTTCTAGAGTGAAAGAGGGACATGACAACGTATCCTACAGACTAAGGAAATGAAATAAACAAGTATATACTAATAGTTAAACAACTTAGATGAAACAGACAGGTTCTTTTTAAAGATGTGTATCACCCAGACTGACGTAACAAGAAAGCTGTGTATTTATTAGGGAAATTGAATTTGTAATGAAAAACTTTCCCTCAGGCTCTGTGGCATCACCGGGGAACACTAATTCACGGGGGTCACTATTGCTTAAGTGGTGATTCTCAAAGTCTTTGGTCTTAGGATGTCTTTACACTCCTACTAATTATTGAGGATCTCAAAGAGGTTTTCTTTATGTAGGCAATAGCTGTTGAAATTTACCTTATAAGAAGTTAAAATTAACTTTTAAAAAATATTTATCAGTTTATTTACAAAATAAACCAATTACAAGTTAACATAACTTTTTTATGAAAAATAACTATTTTCCATAAGAAAAATAATATAGTCTGTTGTGATATCACAGGTCTCTGAACCTCTGGGAAACTCCTGTACATTTTTGAGAGAATGAAAGAGAAAAAGGCTAATGATGTGCATTTCTGGATTGACAGTTTTGTCTTTCAACACTTTGAAGTTGTAGTTTTCCTTGTCTCTGACTTGCACGGTTTCAGAACAGAAGCCTGTGGTCATTTTTCTCCCCGTTTCTGAATGAGTTCTGGGAATCGTTCGTCTTTCAGCTCCCTGGCAGTTGTCCTTTGCTTTGGACTTGTGGAGTTTTCCTCATACATGTGTAGACTGGTGTTCAACCGAAGACTCACGAGGACTCGCTGGTGATTGCTGGACCTCTTTCTCCTCTGAGTGGCTCTCTTCTCTCTACCCCACCTTCAAGATTCCAGACACCTTTGCCTTCCTGATCTGGCTCCTCAACTCAGTGAAGCTGCCATGCTGGGTTTGCTGTGGGCCTTGCTGCACTGTGGTCTGGAAAAGGCCCCCAGGCAGGATGGCAGGGCAGTTACAGGGCTTACCTAATTTGTTTTCCTCTTTTCAGGGGTTGCAGACCTCGTCTCTCTGTTGTCCAGTGTCTGATAACAGTATCATATTTTCTCCACTTTCTAGTTACTGAAAGAGGGTCAGTCTGTTTCCACTACTCCACCATGCCAGAAGCAGAAGTTGGCTTTATTAATTTTTATTTTTAGAGTTGCTTCAAGAACTATTGTTTTAAAAGAACTGAACTATATTTAATATATAATGGGTGATGCTTGACAATGGGGTATGTTTTTCTTTAGAAAAATCAAAAACCTGTGGATCTGGGTTAAAACCTGTTAACAGCCTCAGCACCAAATGGAAAAAGTAAAGAAAGAAAGCTTAGGCAGCTTCCAGGACATTCTTAATTTTAGTAATAGATCCCATTTTTCAGTTGTTATTGGACAAATATTATTTTGTATTTTCTGTATGCCAGGCACTATGCTTAGGCTTTCAGGCTAGAGAGTGAATAAAACAAGCATCCTCTGCCTTCTTGGAGTTTATAGTATAGTGGAGAAGAGAATTAATCACAAAAATAAGTGAACAGTTAGAACTCTGATAAAAACAGTGAAGGAGAAGAACGTGATGTCATGAAAGTGTTTCAGGACACCCAGTTTAGATTGGAGAGTCAGGGAAAGATCTGAGAAGGTGGCAGCTGAGCTGAAATTTGAGATTTGAGAGATGAGCAGGAGCTCAATGGTAAGGAGAGGAAGTAGGCTGAGCAGAAGTTGTGCAGAGAAATCTAGACTGAGAGAATGTATATGCAGAAGCTATCAGGAGAGAGTCTTGCATAGTCCAAAGAACTGAGGGAAGGCTAATATGGAGTTTGGAGAGCAGAGTACCATTTGCTGAGACAAGGAACGCTGGAAGAGGACCAGGTTTAGTTTTTGGAGATGTTGAATTGGAGGTGCCTTTGGAACATCCAAATGGAAATACCATGGAGGCGATTGGGTTTGAAATCAGAGGAGAGATCAGAGTTGAAAATAGAAAGTACAGATTTGGATCTGTTGTATCAATGTGGTAATTGCTGTGGCTGTGAATAAAATTAACCAGAGCAAAGGAATATAGAAAAAGAAGAGAAATCCTAGCCTTTGAAGAATTCCCTTTTTTAAATGTCCAGGTAGGGAAGATGATACCCGGCCCTGGTGGTCTAGTGTTTAAAATTCAGCTCTCTCACTCCTGCAACCTGGGTTCATTTCCTGATCAGGAAACCACACCACACATCTGTTGGTTGTCATACGGGGGCAGCTGCGTGTTGCTATGATGCTGAAAGCTGTGCCACCAGTATCTCGAATACCAGCAGGGTCACCCGTGGTACACAGGTTTCAGCAGAGCTTCTAGACCAAAACAGACTAGGAAGAAGGGCCTGGCCACCCATTTCCAGAAAAATGGTCGTGAAAACTCTATGAATAGCAGTGGAGCATTGTCTGATATAGTGCAGGAAGGTGAGAGGATGGTACAAAAAGACCAGGCGGAGTTCTGCTCTGCTGTACACGGGGTTGCTGGGAGTTGCAGTTGACTCAGTGGTACTAACAACAAAGAGAAGATGATGAATCATTAAAGAAGGCGAAGAATTGATTTCAGCAAACCAGGACAGTGAGTTATTAAAGAAGCTACAAGGTATTAGTATTCTATGGCTGCTTTAACAAATTACCACAAACTTAGTGGCCTGAACCAACAGAAATTTGTATTCTCTCATAGTTCTGGAGGTCAGAAATCTGAAATCAGTATTATTGGACTGAAATCAAGGTGTTGGCAGGCCCATGCTCCCTGTAAAGGCTCTTCCAGCTTCTGGTGGCTGCCAGCATTCCTCAACTTGTGGCCACACCACTCAGTCACTACCTCTGTGGTCACACTGCTGCCTCCTTTTCTGTGTGTCTCATCTCCTTCTGCCTTATAAGGACATTTGTGATGGCATTTAGGGTCCACCTGTATAAATCTCACCTCGAGATCCATTACATCTACCAAAACTTTACACTGTCCTGTTTAGCCACACAGCACTTCTCACCCCAAATATGTGGTTTTCCCCTCGTACCAACCAGTTCTCCAACTCTCCAGACAGCAACTGGGTGTCCTACAATTTAATGCTGACGCTAACTACTGGAGTTAGTGCAGCCTCACAAGATAAGGGCTCAGTCCCATGAGATTGCCCCTACTTCAGATGCCAATTGCAAGTCTGGGCCACCGATACTTCTGACCAAATGGCTGTGAAGTTGGGGTGGGGGTGGTTTCAGAGCCCCTTCCTTCAGCTTTGATAATTTGCTAGAAAAGGCTCACAGAACTCAGAAAAGCACTTTACCTATACTGGTTTATTGTAAAGGGTGCAGCTCAGGAACAGCCAGATGGAAGAGATGCAGAGGACAAGGCATGGGGAGGAGGGGTGTGCAGAACTCCCATGCCCTCTCCAGGTGCATTACCCTCCCAGCTCCTCAGTGTGTTCACCAACCCAGAAGCTCTCTGAACTCCATTTTAGGGTTTTTGTGGAGGTTTCATTCTGAAGGTCTGGTTGATTAAATCGTTGGCCATTGGTGATTAACTCAGTCTCCCTGGAGGTTGGAGGGTGGGGCTGAAAGTTCCAACCCTCTAATCACGCTTTGTTCTTTCTGGCAGCCAGCACCCGTCCTCAAGCTACCTATGGGCCCCCCAGCCACAAGTCATCTCATTAGCACGTGAAAGACACTCTTACCACTCCAGAGATCCCAAGAGTTTTAGGAGCTGTGTGCCAGGAACCAGGGACTAAATCAAATATGTATTTCTTATTGGGTTGCATTCAACATATGACATTCACAGGTTCCCAGAACTAGAACCTGATATCTTTAGGAGAGCATTTTTCAATCTATCACACAAGGGAAGAGAATGCTTCAAGGATTCAAGTAATCAACTATGTCAGGTACTTCTGAAAGATTAACTTAAATGTGGATTGAAAAAATGTGCCATTGGTAGTCTCAGAGACCTGCTGATGGAGGCAGAAGCCAGATTGAAGAGTGTTAAG